TTTGGGCCTCTTTCTAGTGGAAAGCTAGGAATGGATGCAACTTGCATGCAAAGCAGGGCTTGGAAAGGCCAGAGTGCCAGGGCTCAAGGAGGAGTGAGTCCCTTTCCCTGATATCTGCAAGACGAAAAGGAGGAGGAGGAGGAGGAAAAGGAGGAGAGCAGCCTCCCCAGAGGGCCAGCTCCTTGACCGCCTATTCCCATCATGTCCTGCTTTGGCCTCCAGGGAGAAGGCCGAGGTGGGCAATGGAGCAGGCAAACTGGCCGGGCGGCACAGAGGCCCTGCCAAGGAGAATGCTGCAGGGAGGAGGGCACAGATGCCAAGGCCGTGCCCCAAAGACCCTTGCATGGCGTTGCCCCCTGCATCCTCTCCATATCCGAATCCCGGACGGCCTCCGCAGGGCCCCCAGGCAGCTCAGGCAGCGTCTGGCCCTCATTACTCCGTGACGGCTCTCATTAATCGCCAGCCTCCTCTGGGGCCGGGCCAGATGCTCCGAGCCAACGCTGCCTGTAGGCAGCACCTCTCCTTCTTCTGCCTGCAGAACGTGGGGGCTCAAGCCCACCCAGGAGAGGCTGCAGGACAGCAGGGTCACAACTGAGGGACAACACTGCGCCAGGAGCCCCGAGGGAGGCTTGCCAAGGCCACACAAGCCACCCAGACTGGCTCCCTTGGGTGTCTCCTGCGCCACGGCTGCTCTCTGGGCATCCTGCAGGGAAGAAGCGCCAACGTGGACGACATACAGATCGAAGCCAGAAAACCCAAAGGCATGCACAACGTTCAAGGAAGGCAGGCTTCTCCACCCCAAAAGGGAAGGCTTTCTCTCAATCCTTCTCCCCCCATTTCGGGCCCTGAATCCATCCCATGTCACACAGGTGAATTGCGTCGACTCAATGGGCCTCCTGAAGGCAGCAGCCAGGGCACAGGTTTCCAAAGCAAGGAAGCCAGGCAGTCTGGTGCAACCCATGGAATCTCCATCCTTCTCTGGAGGTTTTTAAGCACAGACCAGATGGCCATCTGTCAGGACAAGCTGGAATATGTCCAGAGGAGGGCGACTAAAATGATCAAGGGTCTGGAGAACAAGCCCTATGAGGAGCGGCTTAAGGAGCTGGGCATGTTTAGCCTGAAGAAGAGAAGGCTGAGAGGGGATATGATGAGGGCCATGTATAAATATGTGAGACGAAGCCACAGGGAGGAGGAGGGAGCAATCTTCCTTTCTGCTTCCCTGGAGACTAGGATGCAATGGAACAATGGCTTCAAACTACAAGAGAGGAGATTCCATCTGAACATGAGGAAGAACTTCCTGACTGTGAGAGCCGTTCAGCAGTGGAACTCTCTGCCCCGGAGTGTGGTGGAGGCTCCTTCTTTGGAAGCTTTGAAGCAGAGGCTGGATGGCCATCTGTCAGGGGTGCTTTGAATGCAATATTCCTGCTTCTTGGCAGAAGGGGGTTGGACTGGGTGGCCCAGGAGGTCTCTTCCAACTCTAGGATTCTAGGATTCTATGATAGGAGGGCTTGGGTTGTCTTTTATTGCAGAGCAGGGGATGGACTCAGTGACCTTTGGGGGGGGGGGTCCCTTTCCAACTCTAGTGAAACATACATTGTGTGAGAGTCCAACGGAGTCTCCTTCGCTGGAGGTTTCTAAGCAGAGGCTAGATAGCCATCTGTCAGGAGGGCTTGGGTTGTCTTT